ATCCCCAGCCCTAAATAATTTTTTTTAAATATAGTATTTAATTGACTGCTAAAATCAAAGACTACCTTGAGATTATAGACTAGAGAGGTGACTGGACTTCTTGAAATTAAACTTTGGCAAGGCCATAATATAATAGAAGTATTGTTTTATTTTTGTTTCATGGATCATTTTGTCATAGAAATGGAATGAGATGACTGTGGTGGGGCATACCCAWAATCCCAGCAGCTCACTAGGATCATAAGTTCAAAGCCAGCCTCAGCAATTTAGCAAGGCCCTGAACAACTTAGCAAGACCCTGTCACAAAATTAAAAATTAAAAGGACTGGAGATGTGGCTCAGGGGTAAAGCCTGMTGGGGCTCAATCCCTAGTATAAATGAATAAATAAGAAAAAAGAAATGAAAATTCATTATATAAAATATGAAAGCAAGCTTRTTTAAAAAGATTCTTTAATATCTTTATTTATCTTATTTATTTTTATGTGGTACTGAGGATCGAACCCAGTGCCTCAYATGTGCGAGGAAAGCGCTCTGCCATTGAGCTATAACCCCAGCCCCTGAAAGCAAGCTTTAAAGTCACATTGCAAAGTGCCTTTTCTGAATGTTGAAATTAACCATTGGTCTGCTCGMTTTTGTAGAGAAGCTGTGACGGAACCGGAGCTATGTACTTCATAGGATGTGGCTATAATGCCTTTCCTGTTGGATCTGAGTATGCTGACTTCCCACATATGGATGACAARCAGAAAGACAGAGAAATAAGGAAATTCAGATACATCATACATGCTGAACAAAATGCCTTGACATTTAGGTAGGAAATTTTTTTATTGTGCCTTTAAAATGTAGCAAAGGTCAGTTGAAATAAGTTTTCTTTTAGTTGTGACKTATTTCCATTTTCAAATTCTAGAAAATCTTCTTTCCAGAAATATAGTTTTGGTAAAGATTGGTCCTGCTGGACCTGAGGCCATTTTGCCAGATTCTCCAGGCCTTCCAATTTATTGAGCAAGTCTTGTTTTTCTTCCCTCTCTCTAATAAGAAGTGACTTAAAATTTGTCCTTAATATTTGTCCAAAATACAACCTCTTGTTTTCTCCTTTGTTTTCTAAATTTTGAGTACATAGATTTATGAATGTGTAGACTTTATGATGAACCAAATTGCTTTGAAAAATGTTAGAAATAACAACTATCATCATCTCCTTTTAATGTTCATTTAGGTGATTTCCACAATCACTTGTCAGCTTTTACCATTAAGGGGGTGAGTTTAGGAGATTAAAAACTGAATAAGACATGGCCCCTGTCATTGGGGAGCTTCTAATGCAGTAAGCGTTAAGATCTAAGATGCATACACTTAATGCAATGGATTCTGTGGGAAAGGCAAACAGTGCACAAAGTGCTCTGGGGCTGCTATGAACAAAAACAGGGATGTAAGTRAAAAGCTGTGTGGAAGAAGTCGAGCTTCTCATTAGAGCTGAGCTCTGAATGATTGCCAGGAGATATTCCTTGAAAGGAAGACCTTTCTTGCTTCTAACACAAGGTACRGTCTAGAAGTGGAAAAATGCATTCCACATTTAGGAACATGCATATTCCTGCTAGGCTGGAGTGTGGGTTCATGGTAAATGCAGCTCACAGGATAAGCTGGGCCTGGACAACAGAGGACTTCAAGTTTAGACTCCACTTGGTAGGCAGTCGGGAAATGGAATTGCACCAACAGCCACAGTCCATAGACTGCTTAGGTGGCAGAAGCATCGTTTGAGCAGACTAGATGTGTAGAATTCTGTTGCCCTAGTCCAGATGAACAGAAATGAGTTTCAACTAGGGAGATGAATATGGAAGATGTATAATTGAAAACAGCTGGTTCAGAGCAATGTAAACCATAGAACCTGGAATTACAATCCCTGTGACCTCAGGTGAGAGCAGTCCTTGGTCCTAGACTACCCCCAGCATACAGTTTCACCAAAAATCTCCTCAAGTTTTTTTCCCTGTCCTCTTCATTACAGGTTACTTGCTTCATTTTATATGGAGGTCTGAAGATGAAGATGACATAGCCATTTTTTTCTTTCTTTTTTTTTTTTTTTTGTACCAGGGATTTAGTGCCCAGGGACACTTATTCACTGAGCCACATCCTTAGCTCTTTTTATTTTTTATTTTGAGACATGGTCTCGCTTGGTTACTTAGGGCCTTGCTAAATTGCTGAGGCTGACTTTGAACTCAAAATCCTCCTGCCTCAATCTACAAGCCACTAGGATTACAGGCATGCACCACACTGGGCTCCRAATGTTTTTTAAATAGAATTAACCTTTGATAGAGAAGGGGTAAGAGAACTATAACTCAAAACAGAAATTTAATATTAATTTATTTATTTAATAAGTATTTACTAAGGGTCCTTTAGGTGCCAGTTAGGAATAGGGGGCTAGGTCTTTAAGCTGCCTTGATGATTTAATATTTRATAAATAATAGTTAGTTTTAACCCCAATTTCCATATTTTAAAGAGATCCTTATGTAGAAAACGTGGTTTTCCTTTTTTTTGTTTGTTTTTGTTTTGTAGTTCTGGGGATCAAACCCAGGGCTCCAAGAGTGCTAGGCAACCACTCTACCACTGAGCTACGTCCTCTGCTTTCTTTTTTCTTTTTCTCTCTTTTTTTTAATCCTCTCTTTTCTCCATTCTATTCCCTCCCTTCCTCTCCTCCCTCCTTCTTTTTCTGTTTTTTATTTATTTTATTTATTTTATATTGAACACCTTGCCAACAGCTTAAATGAAGTTAAGTTATAGTGATTGTCGGGTTTTTACAGATTTTGAACATTGATTGACTAATTTAACAAGAGTAAGGCTTGATTATTGTTTATAATGTGAATCTATTTTTAAAACAACTCATCATTAAAATTTAAGAATTTCTCTTTAAGAAATAACTTACCCTTTCAGAAATTACCTTTGTAATAATCTGTAAATTTTTTTGTAGGTGTCAAAAAATAAAACCAGAAGAAAGAAGCATGATTTTTGTGACAAAATGCCCATGTGATGAATGTGTACCTTTAATTAAAGGTGCTGGCATAAAACAAATCTATGCAGGGGATGTAGATGTTGGAAAAAAGAAGGCAGACATCTCTTACATGAGGTTTGGGGAACTTGAGGGTGTTAGCAAATTTACCGTAAGTAGATAGATACACTTTTTCTTCAAACTGTATTTCCTGTTATGTTGTTTGATACCCTGTTGTGTACTGTAAATTAGTGATTTCTATCCTTTTAAAGAGTTTCAACAAATTATTATCATTGAGTTTATTTTTAAAAATTTTTTTTAGTTGTAGATTGACACAATACCTTTATTTTTTTATTTATATGCCATGTTGAGAATCAAACCTAGTGCCTCACAAATGCTAGGCAAGCGCTCTACCACTGAGGCACAACCTCAGCCCACTTTGAGTTTATTTTTTACATGCAAGCACTTACATACCAAAAAATGTTCACTAAGGATCTCTGCCATAAGAATTTTAYAGTTCTGCAAGACACAATGGCATAGGCCTGTAATCTCAATGACTCAGGAGGCTGAGGCTCGAGGATTGAGAGTTCAAAGCCAGCCTTAGCAACTCAGCAAGACCCTATCTCTAAATAAATAAAAAACATACATATTTTAAAAGGGCTGGGAATGAGGCTCAGTGGTTAAGCATCCCTGGGTTCAATCCCTGGTGCTAAAATAAATAATTTTTTAAATGAAAAAAAAGAGAGAGGGAATTTTACATTTCTGTAGAGTTGTAAATTGACCTAGAGTTAGCTTGAGGCAGGGAAACCTCTGGTGCCATCATGTGGCTAATAGAAAAGCTCTGACTCACTTCTTCCCTCACCTGTTTCAGCTTGGAGTGGTAGATAGAGGTGAAAGTAGTTGAAGATTATCCAAAAGACAGTCTTCCTCTTGTACACATGCATGCTCTTGTACACACACACACACACACACACACACACACACACGTTCCTCATGAGAAAAAGTGCTAACAAAAAGTTACAAAAGCTCTACAAAGAAAAATTTTCCCCAGAAGTTGATGACCTGCCAAATCATTCTGTTTCTTCAAACAAGGAATAATCACAGAACCACAAAAAACAGGAAATTAGCATTGATATATTACTGCTGTTAATCTATACATTCATCAAGGTTTACTGAGTGTTCTAAGAATGTTCTTTTTTTTTTTTTTTTTTTTTGGTATTGGGGACTGAACCGAAAGGCACTCTACCACTGAACGAAATCCCAATCCCTTTTTATTTTTTGAGACAAG